AAACCGGAATAATTGTAAAAAAAATTTTGATTATTATTATTTTCCATACTATAAAAATATTATAATTGAAATTTTATGTTTGGGTACGGAAAAAAAAAGCTTCCATTTTGTTTTTTTGTTTTTCTTTCTTGTGTAAATTTTATTTTGTAAATAGAAATAAAATAATCAGATCACGAAAACTATTAACCGCGCCATTTTTTTTTTAATTTTTTGTCTTTTATAATTTAATTAAAATTCGACTAATTGATGTGACACGAAAAATATTTATATAAAAAAAATTTAATTTTTATTTTTAATCCCGAAATGAGGAGAGGGGCTGGAGGGTGAGAAATTTTTCGTTTTCGAATGGGGAGGCGGGGGAAAATTGTTTTATTGTAAAGAAAATTTTTTTACGATGTAAATAATTATTGATTAGTCATGCGAATTTTTTAAAAATTTTTATTGATTTTATTTTTTTTTAATAAGAGAAGAAAAGTCGGATGCTGTTGAAATAAGAAGAAGCAACGAGATGAAGGGGAAGGGGAGGAAAGGGATTAAATAATATTCAAAGGAAAAAAAAAAATTAAAAAATAAAAGGAAAAGACCGACGGTTTATCCGCGTGGATTTAACCGTGAAAATATTTTTTCCTTTTTTTTTTTTACACGATGAAAAGACATTTTAATAATTTTTTAATAAAATAAAACGTTTCGGATGCGTCGTTTCCGTTTAAAGAAAAAAAAAATTTTCTACGTGTTTATACACGTGCATATTTTAGTCAAAAGCGGAAAAAGAAAAAATTCGAGTCGAATGAAAATTAAAAAAAAAAATTTTAATTTTTCATCTCATCTTTGTTTTTATTTTTTTTTATTTTGTTTTGTTTTTTTTTTTTTTTTTAAATTTAATTTTATTTTCCATTACTTACAGTTTTTCTAATCCGTAAAAAAAAAAATAAATAAAGCTTTTTAAAAAAAGAATAAAAAGTTAAAAAAAAAAGATGGAATTAGAATTAAAATTTTTTTATAAAAAAAAAACAAATGAAAAAAATTTTATATTAGCATTTTATATAAAAAGAAAGTGCTGAACCGGAAGTTGAAAAAACATTTTTTAATGTTTGGATTTTCGATTTGTTTTTAATCGGTGTATACCAGATACGGAAACACAATCAAACATGATGTATTGACGACGATTTTTAATATATTTATCGTTAATTTTATCGTTTCAGATCCCTTTCTTTACATTACGTCGAACAAGATAAAGACTATATTTGCTCCAGACCAGATGATAACGGTATGCACACGTGTGATAATTTACCACATTATAAAATAGGTGAAATGATATGCAACGATACGGCCGTCCCAAATTCATTAAACACTCCAACGAATAATTCTTGTGTCAATTGGAATCAATATTATACGGAATGTAAATCCCAAGGGAGTAATCCTTTTCAAGGAACCATAAGTTTTGATAATATCGGTTTAGCTTGGGTCGCCATTTTTCTCGTAAGTTAAATACAAATTAATTATCATAACCTTTAATTTTATTAATTAAATTTTTTATTTATTTATTTATTTACGTGATATTTAAGGTTATTAGTCTGGAAGGTTGGACGGATATTATGTATTACGTACAAGACGCACATTCATTTTGGGATTGGATATATTTTGTTTTATTAATTGTTGTGAGTTTTATTATTATAGAATCGACAAAAAAAATTTTTTCCATAGTGAGAAAGCAGAAAGTTGATGACGTGTTATTAATTTTTTTTTTTTTTTTAGATTGGATCGTTTTTCATGATTAATTTGTGCCTCGTTGTAATAGCAACACAATTTTCGGAAACTAAAAAAAGAGAAATGGAACGTATGAGATTGGAAAGAGCAAGGTTTCATTCAACAAGTACTTTAGCTTCTTCTACTAATAATTCGGAACCAACCACGTGTTACGCAGAAATCGTAAAGTTAGTTATAAAAAAAATTAAAATTTTTATAATTGCTACCAATGGTTGTTCATTATAACTAATATTATTATTATTATTTTTAAAATAAAGATACATTGCTCATTTGTGGCGTCGTACGAAAAGGAGAATATTGAAAAAATATAGAGTTTATCAGTATAGAAAACAACACGAACACGAAAGGAAATTAATATTAAATCAAAATCAAACCGAATCCGTCGGTATTTCACCCTCGAGATTTAGCATGCAATTTACCGGTGGACACGAGGGACCAGGTTAATATAATAATATGAAAAACGAGAAAATTTTCCCTTTTTATTCATACCGAATCCATTTAATTTTTTTTTTTTCCAAAAATTTAAATAAGGTATGAAATAATTCAAGTGGTAAAAAAATTTATAGGTCCGCCTTTACATCGTAATAATCATTTGTATCATCATCATCAACAACGTCATCATCATCACTATCATCATCGACAACATAATTTTCAAAATGCTCATCATCCATGTTCTCACGTGCATCACGCGTGTAGATACCACAATAACAAAAATAGACAGCACAATGTTCAAGGGCGTACATCTTGCCTTTCTCCGCTCATTTCGAGACAAGCTGATCCCAATGATCTTTCGGATTCGGCTCCACATGCTAGTCCTGAAGTGTCCGATATAGACCTGCAAAACACGCCTCGAAGGTTGGTAGGCGGAAACGTGAATTCGGGAAGTTTGCTTCGAGTTCCGTCGGTGAATAACACGTGCAATGATTACATGATCGAAGTAAGTATATATTTCATTTTAGAAGTTGTTATGATAATGCTTAATGAAAAATGTAATTTTCAGGGTAGTTGGTCCGGTTCTTCATTTTTGAGTCCGCCATCTCTAACGGAACAAAGACGAAAGAGCAGCGTTATGTTTTGCGACGAAGTAACGACGTTAAATTCAACGAGCGAAGCTAAAAATATATGTTCGAGTGAAAAAATGACGCAAACGGATGATGGAGATTTATGGCAACATAACAAAAATAATTCCAGCGATAATCAGGTGCCTAAACCCCAACCCCCCTCCCTCCTCATTCCTAAAAAAAAAAAAAGCATCGCGATAAATATAATTTTTTATTTTTCGACAGAGCGCAACAGATTTGGCAGTTCCCGAAATAAGCAACGAAGCAATGACTTGCCAAGAATTGCTAGCGTTTAGCGGTGTCATTTCCGCAGCACTACCAACAGGTCAAATTGCTCTCGAATCCTTATTTACATCATTGACAAAAGGAGTTCAAGAAAGAAACGAAACAAACAATCAAAGATGGCTCGAATCCGACGTTTGCAGTTGTTGCGGAGAACCACGTGGAACGGCTTGTCCTTTTGGTTGCCCATCATCTGAATGGTCAATCATAATGGATTGTGAGTTTATTAAATCCCACCTCCCTCTCCCCTCCCACTCCCACTCAAAACTCATCGTGACGTAAATAATTTTTTTATTATTTGATTAATTGACAAGTAAAAAAAAAATTTCCAGCACAAAAAGATGGAATAATAACGAAAAATCGTCATCATCATAGAACGAGATTCAAAACGTATGCGAGTAATATTGGAAAATGTATTTTCTATTGTTTAAAAAGAGTACAGAGATTTATAAAAGCATTAGTTGAGCATAAATATTTTCAACAGGGAATTCTATTGGCCATTTTATTTAATACTTTAAGCATGGGAATAGAATATCATAATCAGGTAAATAAATAATAATAATAACATTTAAACGAATTTTTTTTTCCCCCCGTTTTCGGGTTTTCGATTATAATAATAATAATAATAAATTTTACAGCCGGAAGAATTAACGGTTATTGTGGAAATAAGTAATATTGTTTTTTCTGGAATATTCGCAGTTGAAATGTTACTTAAAATAATAGCAGAAGGACCTTTCGGTTACATCAGTAACGGTTTTAACGTTTTCGATGGCGTCATAGTCATATTAAGGTAAGTTTTTTTTTTTTTTAAATTTGATTTTTAGTCTTTTTTTTGGTTTTGTAAAAAGGAAAGAAAAGGGGAAAAATGAGATTTTCATAGAGAAAATAAAAAAAAAAAATGAAAATGTAAAAATTTTTACAGTATTATAGAATTGTGTCAAACTTTCATTGACGGAGAAGGAAATGATAGAGCCGGAAGTTCTGGTCTTAGCGTATTAAGAACTTTTAGATTGTTGAGAATATTAAAATTAGTGAGATTTATGCCAAATTTAAGAAGGCAATTATTTGTTATGCTTCGTACAATGGATAACGTCGCCGTTTTCTTTTCTCTATTAATATTATTTATATTCATATTCAGGTAAGAATATAATAATAATAATAAATAAATTTTTTTTTAAATTTTCCACGAAAAAAAAGAGAACAAAAAAATTTAATTGCTTTATTTTTTATTGATTTTATTTTATTTTTTTTTTCGTATGGCAAAAACAAAAACGAAAAAAATTTTTTTTCTTTTTTTTTGTATAGAAAATCGATATATCGATTGATAAAAAATAATTAAAACCCTCTTTTATCTTTTTTTTTTTTTTTCGTAAAAATCGCGACATGAGAATAACAAACAAATTTAATTTAACAATAGTTTAATTTAAAATCACTCTCTCTCATTCTCTCACTCTCTCTCTCTCTCTCTCTTTTTTTTAACACAAAGAAACCTTTATCAATATATAGTCAAACACGTTAGATAAAAACCTTTTCACGTCAAAAAATTTTTTTTTTTATTAATAAACTTTTTTTGTTATGTTAAAAAAAAAAATCACTTACGGAAAATGTTTATTATTTAAACGTCAACCGAAACATTGTTACGTTTTTAAATAAAAAAACGTTATTATTATTATTATTATTATTATTTTTTCGAACGAAGTTTAAAGTTCTGGTAGAAATTTCGGGAAAATTTTTTTTTTTTTTTACTTTTTTCCATTCACAATTAGGACCGTTTAATTTTTTTTTTTTTTTTTTAAATTCCCAAATGAGTTGAAATTAAATAACTTTTATTAAATTATTAATAATTAACGATGATAATAATAATAAGTAGGTTTTTAATAAATTAAGTTCCCATTTAATAAATAATTGTGATTTATTATAATCACTTTATTTTTTTTTTTTTTAGTGCGTGTGTGTGTGTGCGTGTGCGTGTGTAATCGTGACAGGAGTGACACTTTTATTTATATTATTAACAATAAATGTGGATTAGAAGAAAATCCAAAAACGCGATTATTAAATATTAACATTATCATTATTATTTTTTATTTATTAAATCGGTAAAATCGCACATTTTTCAGGGCTCTATATGGTTATCATAAACGCATTTTTTTTATCGATGCGTTATTAAAAATCATTCATCAATTTTATCATATTAGATTCATTATTATTATTATTATTATTATTATTATTAAAAAAATCATTTGCATCCATAGATGTTGTTTATTCGCTGTTTGCTTGCGACTGAAATGAAAAACAAAAACGAAAAAACTTTAAAATTATATTTTAAAAAAGAAAGGATAAATTGAAATAATTATTTATATTTTGCTTATGGGAAAACCAATCAATTAAAAAAAAACTCGTCGGAAAAACAAAAAAAAATTTAAATTTACCATGGAATTATAATCGATAACAATAAATATTTTTATGCATTTTAAAATAAATATGTGTTCGCATGAATATATATATATATATTTTTTTTTCGTTGTGTCTTTTTCTTTTTCTTTTATTTATTTATTTATTTAATTAATTACTCAAATGTTTTAATATTATTATTATTATTATAAAGCGAAAACGAAATTTTTTTTCTATCATTTTATTTATTATTATTATTAATAAATTTTTTTTTCTCTCTCTTTCTCTCTGGAAAACGATTCGAATTAAATGAATGTCATAAATAAATAATTTATTACATAAAAAAAAAAATAAATCGGAGGAATAATATAGCAGAAAGAAAAATATTACATTAATTATTATTATTATTATTATTTAATTAATCGATACGCCAAAACAAAAAAAAATTAAATAAATTAATTCAATTCAATAAATAAATAAATTTATTGCGTAAAATAAATTTTAATGGAAATATTTTCGCGAAACCGCGCATGCGTGACAAAAAAGAAAATTATTATTTATTATTTTTATTTTTATTTATTTATTTACTTTCTTGTTTTATTTATTTATTTATTTTTTTCGTTTTTTTTTTTTTTTTTTAATTTTTTTTTCTTTTTTTATTACTTTTCGTCTTTTCTGTTTTTATTATAGTATTCTTGGAATGAATCTCTTTGGTTGCAAATTCTACGACGTTACGGATGATGGTCGCAAGCATTACGATCGAAAGAATTTTGATTCGTTGTTATGGGCACTTGTCACAGTTTTTCAGGTACACACACTTTTCCCTCGATGATTTCTTCATCGTTTTTATATTATTATTATTATTATTACTTAATGCGTAAATTATTTATTAAACGCTATATAAAAATATTTATTTATTTATTTAAATTTTTTTGGGGTTGTTAGGTAGTTAATTGTTTGTTTTGTTTTTTTTTTTTGCATTTATTATTATTATTATCATTTTTGTCGTTATTATCAATTGGTTTCGTTTTGATAACAAAAAAAACTATTTAGAAAATTTATTTGCACACTAAAAAAAAAAATAAATACAAAATTTTATTCGTTATTTAAATTTTACAAAAAAAAAATTTAAAATTTACATTACGTAATTTTATTATTTTTTTAAATTTAGTTAGAATTTATTTATTAATATTATTATTATTATTTTATTTATTAATTAATCAGTATAATACGATTTATAAGTGTGTTGTTGTTTGACAAAAAAAAAAAAAAAAAATTTGTTAAAACACGTTGTTAGTTTTTCGTTGAGGTTTTCGTTGGTAAATTTTTCTTTTTAGCTTTTTTCTCTTTATTTTTTTTTTATTTTGTTGTACAATTTTAATGTCGGATAATTATTAATAATAATAATAAGGTAAGGTGAAAATATTCATGAAAAAAAAATGATGTTGTTGTTTGTTTTGGTTGTTGTTGCATGTTTTCTAAACACATATATTCATTTATATGCTTTTAAGTAATTGTTTTTATTAACAAAAAAAAAAAAAATTAATAATAATTAAAATTATTTGATGATTTGCTCGAATTATAAGAAAAAACTTCCGCCCCCCCCCAATTTAGAATATTTTTAAAGTTTTAGAAGTTAGTCAATCATCATCAATTTTTAATTAGTTTTATACATTTGAAATTTAATTATTACGCCATACATAAAAGATAGCATAGAAAAAAAGAAAAATGGCGACGGTAAATTTAAAATTAGCAACAATTTAACGGTTGATAAGTTTTTCTTGTTGTTGTTGTTGTTGTTGTTATTTGAAATACAAGTGTCATCTTTCGGTAAAATCAGAAAACGGATGTCTCTCTCTCTCTCTCTCTCTCTCTTAACGTTTATTAAAAAAAAAAATTTTTTTTTTTTTTTTTGAAGCTTGCGCCCACATTTCTAAAATTATTACGTGCAGTTCTTAAGGGAGTCAAATGTTAAAATTTTAAACAGATGATGATTGTTGTTACGATAAATTTTATTAATTTAAATTACGTTATTAATAGTAGAGTAATTATTTGAAAAAAATAAATAAATAAAACATTTGATGATGTCATAAATAAATTTTTTTCAACGTAACAAATGAAAATTAATCGGGGTCAAATTTTTTTTTTTTTTTTTTTTTTTTTTTAAAGGTTAGAAATTTCTAGTATATAGTAAAAAGGTGACCTTTTACAAAAAATTTTAAAATTTTTCCTATAGAATTTAATAAAAAATTAATTAAATCTACAAATGATAGCGATTTGGAAAAATTTTGGGGGAGGGGGGAAGGGAAATCACATAACCTTTAAAGGAAAAATGTAATGAACGCACAATAATTTTTCCACGTGCATGATTGACAACAATTCTTTTAAATCAAATAAAAAATTTTTTATTTTATTTAATCATCGTTACATTCATTCATTCATTCATTCAATTCATTAACGACGTGTGCGTTAAGCACGTGTGTATTCGTATCAAACAATAAATTAAATCACTCCTGTCACAAAAAACACGAAATTTTTATTTTTTTATTCGAGTATTCGTTTTAAGACACGCGAAAAAAAAAACATAAGATGACCAATTCAAATGCGTGAAAATAATAAAAAAATGAGTCTTTTTAAAAAAAAAATTGATATTAATTTTCCATCATTTTTACTTTACTACTACTATTCGTTGTTTTTTTAAATTTAGATTATTTAATAATTAATTAATTAAACTAATTTAATTATTTTATTTGTTTAATTAATGTAGTTTAAATTTGCTTTTCTCTTTATTTAAAATAATAATAATAATAATAATTATTATTATTATTATTTTTTAAAAGAGTTTTTTTATTTGTAAATTGTTTTGATTTTTTTTTTTAAAATAATTTACTCTTAATTAATTTGAAGTAAAATTATTATATTAATAATAATGATGCGTAAAATTATTATTATTATTAAATTGTTTTATTTTTTGTTATAAATAAAATATTAATATTAATTTGTTTTTGCAAAGAAAAAAAAAAAACAAAAACAAAATTTTTTTTTTGGAATCTTGTAGTAATTATATATTTGAGTGAGCTTTACTCATTTAATACTCATTTAAAGCAATTAAATTTTTTTTTATTATTATTATCTACTGCTTTTATTATAGCTTATTTATTAAAGACAATTTCGTTTTAAATAAATATTATTATTATATAGAAAATTAGATTTAAAAAGTAATTGTTGTGATAAGGAAGAGAGAGGAAAAAAAAAAAAACGAAGTTGTCAAGATTGTGGAAAGCACACAAACACACACACATTGAAAAAAAAAAAAAAAGAAAATTGTTTGTTGTTAACAAAAGAGAAAAATCTCTGGATTGTTTTTCAGTATTTTGGGAATGTATTTATTTGGTGGTAAGTTTTGCATGCTTCGGATGGTCAAGAGAATGTACATGCTTCGAAATCAGCTTAAAACATCCGGATTGCGTCTGTGATAGAAAACATTTTAATAATTTTTTATGGGCCACTGTCACCGTTTTTCAGGTGAAAATTTTTATTTTATTTTATTAATATTTTGTAATTTTTTCAAGTAATTATTATTAATATTTATTAATTTAAATGTTTTTTTTTAGATTTGTTTGTTTCTTGTTTTGCTTTTTTTTATAGAGAGAAAAATACGCAAAATGATTTTGGGTTGAGTTTTTATTTTTTTTTCTTTTTTATTTAATTTTTTTTTTAGATTTTGACACAAGAAGATTGGAATGTCGTGCTTTTCAACGGAATGGAAAAAACAAGCCATTGGGCTGCTTTATATTTTGTCGCATTGATGACGTTTGGAAATTACGTATTGTTTAATTTATTGGTAGCCATTTTGGTTGAAGGATTCAGTTCTGAAGTGAGTATAAAGAATTAAGATTATATACAAATGCGGATAACACGAATTAAAAATAAAAAATTTTTTTTTTTCCAGAGAAACGAAAGAAGAGAAAGAGAAGCGAGAGAATTGGAAAAACAAAAAGAAAAAGCGGCGGAAATAGCAGCAGCATTATTCGAAGAAGCTGCCAGATACAGTCCACCCTCCGAATCGACAAATGAAAGTTTTCATAATGATATAAAAAATAAATGGCGAAGCGCCGAAGATATTTATCATCCAAAATATAAAAAATCAAAATCGAAAGTTATTCAAGGTAAAGATAACGTTTGGAAAACAAAACCGAATCATTCTAAAAAAGAAGAAATGAACACGAATGAAAAACAAGACATCAAATGCAGCAATGTTTATAAAGGTAATACCCATTTTATTCCCAAATGTAAGAATAATAATAATAATAGTATATAAACAAATTAATAAATTTTTCAGATTGTAAAACGACACCGGAAACACAAGTAGGACCCCCCAAAATAACACATACGGCAGCAACGCCACAAGATTCGCCAAACACGACAGCTGACGTCATTATAAAAGATTCAAATAGTAAAACAACCAAAACAACTTTTTATTCCAGCATTGTATCCATTGATTCGACGGATAGCAGCTCAAATGCAAGTTTTAAACACAAAACAAACATCAATTATTATTATTATTATTAAATTATTCATTTTTTTTTCATTTTAGTCTTCCCATGGGAGCACGCCACGTTTGTTAAAACCAACAAACAATTGCAATTATAAAAAAAATAATAATATTTCAAATTCTTCTCAACAAAGTTTGGGTAAATCCGTAACGACGACGTCAATCAAGGATACCCTACCTCCACAGTAAGTATATTATTATTATTATTATTAAATTATTATATTATTATAATTAATTTATAAACGAACTTATTTTAGCACACCTCGAAGAGTTTATTCATGGCGTTTATCGAGGCCATCATTAAAAAAAAAATTAAGAAGGAATTCGGGAAATTTGGAAATAAAAAACGACAATCAAAATAAAGAAATTGTTCTTAATAACAATCATTTAAGGTATTAAAACAAATTTAATTGAAATTGTTTTATATTTAAATAATTAAACAAATGATTTTGTCGCTCTATCTCTCTCTCTCTTGCAGAAACGGACACGATACACCTCGTTGCAATGGTAATTTATTATATTCGAACACTATCAGAAATGATACCCAATCCCATCATAAGAGTTTCAACAGTCCACAAAATTCAATAAGGAGTAAACAATCAGTAAGAGACGTCGTACCGGTAAGTAATTAATTAATTAATTAATTTAAAAAAAATTTTATTTTATTTATTACCTAAGATTCCTTGGTTCGCAGACGATTGGAATTCAGGGATCAAGTAAAAAAGATAATTTAGAAGATGGTTCGCCATCTATAAACGGTATTAAAATAAACGGTAACGGTTTGTCGCAAAATGACGTATACCAATCGAAAACTATTAACGTACCACCCACTAATTTAACAGGATCGATTCAAGATGAAAATAATAAAAATGTATTAAAAGTAATTAAAAATAAATGATGATGATGATAACTTTATTTGAATATTTGTCGATTGATCGATCGATTGATTTTTTTTAAGGGTAAATCAAACGAAGATTTTACTGCGATGGAAAATATTGAACAAATCGAACAAAATTCGGATAATACGACGACGCCATTAACTGACGTCATACCAAAAGTTTTTTATTGTTTTGAAAATACCGGTTGTTTTAAAGAAAGAGAAGATTATTCTTTATACTTATTTACTCCAGACAATAAGTAAGCCAAAAAAAAAAAACAATTTTATTTATTTTTTTTCGGAATTTTCTTCATTTTCTCCTTGTTTTTTTAAACAGATTTAGACAATCTTGTATTTGGATAGTAGAAAGAAAATGGTTTGACAATGCTGTTTTATTATTTATCGGACTAAATTGTATAACTTTAGCCATGGAAAGACCGAATATTCCACCTCACAGCACCGAAAGATTATTTCTTTTATGTGCTAATTATATTTTCACCGTAGTTTTCGCATTGGAAATGTTCGTCAAGGTAATAATAATAATAATATTATAATTATCTGCCTGAAATTTTTATGCAAAAAAAATTTTGTGTTAGGTTATCGCTGCCGGAATGTGGTATGGAAAAGATGCTTATTTTACATCCGGTTGGAACATCATGGATGGAACTTTGGTTATTATTTCGATAGTTGATTTATTAATGTCATTAATATCCGAAAGTAGTCCAAGAATATTTGGAATACTCAGGGTAATTTTCATTTTAATTCGATCGGAAAATTCTTTTTTTTCGGTGGGGTATGAGCTAATATTTTTTTTTTTTAATTGGAATTTTAAGGTTTTTCGACTTTTGCGTTCTTTGCGGCCTTTAAGAGTTATTAATCGAGCTCCAGGATTGAAATTAGTCGTTCAAACATTATTATCATCTCTTCGACCCATAGGAAACATCGTTTTAATTTGTTGTACCTTTTTTATAATATTCGGTATATTAGGAGTTCAGGTAAAAAATAAAAAAAAAATTTTACTTTTCACTCGTCATCCCTTTAAACAATTAAATCGAAATTGATTTTTTTTTTTTTTTTTTTAGTTATTTAAGGGTACGTTTTATTATTGCGAAGGACCCAGATTGGAAAATGTTAAAAACAAAACTGATTGTTTGGCCGATAGTAAAAATCAATGGATCAATAGAAAATATAATTTTGACGATCTTGGAAAAGCTTTGATGTCACTTTTCGTCTTGTCATCCAGAGACGGTTGGGTTAACATTATGTACACTGGATTAGATGCTGTAGGAGTTGATATACAGGTGAACTTGATTGCCAAAAAAAAAAAAATTGTTTTAAACAATTATAAATAATTATTTTTTGTTTATAACAAAAAAAAAATTTCAGCCAATAAAAAATTATTCCGAATGGAGATTACTTTATTTTATCGCATTTATTTTATTGGTTGGTTTTTTCGTTTTGAACATGTTTGTGGGTGTAGTCGTTGAAAATTTTCACAGATGCAGAGAAGAACAAGAAAAAGAAGAAAGAATGATAAGATTAGCCAAAAGAGCAAAACAAATGGAAAAGAAAAGAAGAAGTAAGAGACATTTTGAATAAAAGAAAATTTTCTAAAAAATTTTTCTTTAAACTTTTCTTTTTTTTTATTCAGAAATGCACGAGCCTCCATATTATACAAATTATTCAAAACCAAGACTGGTTATACATAATGTAGTTACATCAAAATATTTTGATTTAGCAATTGCTGCCGTTATTGGATTAAATGTCGTTACAATGGCTATGGAATTTTACATGATGCCAAGAGTAATTTTAATGATAATAATGATAATAATTTATTATTAATTTCATATTGATTTTACGAATATATTTTTTTTTTTTTGTAATGTTTTAGCCTTTGACGTACGCTTTAAAAATTTTCAATTATTTTTTTACTGCTGTTTTTATATTAGAATTATTTATGAAATTGATCGCACTCGGTATTAAATTATATTTAAAAGATAAATGGAATCAATTGGATGTTGCGATCGTTTTTCTATCCATTGTAGGAATTGTTTTAGAAGAATTAGAATCAAAAATCATTCCGATAAATCCAACAATTATAAGAGTTATGAGAGTTTTAAGAATCGCAAGAGGTAAAAAAAGTTCTCTTTTAAGAGAATCAATTAATTTCATAAATAAAAGTTTTAATTTAAAAAAAATTATTTCAGTTTTAAAACTTTTAAAAATGGCGAAAGGAATAAGAGCTTTATTGGATACTGTTATGCAAGCATTACCGCAAGTTGGAAATTTGGGTCTTTTATTTTTCCTTTTGTTTTTCATATTTGCCGCACTCGGTGTAGAATTATTTGGACGATTGGGTAATTTCGAAAAAAAAAAAATTTTTCACGTTTAATTAAATTAAATTGAGTTTAAAAAATGAATTGTAAACATTTAATTGCACTCATTTTAGAATGTAGCGACGAAATGCCTTGCCAAGGTTTAGGTGAGCATGCACATTTTGCCAATTTTGGTATGGCTTTCCTAACATTATTTCGCGTCGCGACTGGAGATAACTGGAACGGAATAATGAAAGATACATTGAGAGATAATTGCGATGATAATGCCGATTGTGTAAAAAATTGCTGCGTATCAACAATAATAGCTCCTATATTTTTTGTGATATTTGTTTTAATGGCACAGTTTGTTTTGGTAAACGTTGTTGTCGCGGTACTCATGAAACATCTGGAAGAATCTCACAAACAGGTCAATTTCAAAATATATACAAAAATTAAATTATTATTTACAAAAAAAAAAACATTGATAAGATTTAATTTTAGATGGAAGATGAACTCGATATGGAAGTTGAATTAGAAAGAGAATTGCAACAAGAGCAAGAAGATTTAGAAGAAGAAATGTGTTTGCAATTTTTAGAAACGGAAAATAATTCAAAGGGAAAAATAAAACGACCTCTTGGAAAAATATTATCACTTCCGGCCAATTTTATATATCATTCCGATACCCCAAGCAAGGGTAAGTACGCGCATTAAAGCATTGGTAGGCAAAAAAAAAATTATTATTATTATTATTATCGTAAATGTTTAATGATAACAGATTCCAGTTTGCAAACTGATAATGGAACTGTTAGACGTGGTTCTGCAATTTCATTTCATTCTCCCTATCATTCGCGCCGAAGACAAACATTTCATTATCAGGGCTCTCTTTTACCGACTTCTTTTGCCGTCTCAGGATTTCCAAGCATTTACACAACCGATCAAGAAAATGTATCGAATAAAAATGCCGTCAAAGACTCCACAAAATTAGACAATGCGTTAGACAATCAAAAACATTTGCGTAGAATGTCGAGTATCGATTATAAGAGAAGAAGTTCGTTGAGCGCGAGTAATAGTAGAAGAGGTAGTTTGTTCAGGCCCAGAGCAGAACTTCAAGCTTTAATTGGTTTATCTAAATCCGCTGGTTTAATGCCTTGCCCGACAACCAAACAATTATTATCACTAACCGAATTGGTAATAGATGAAAAAGAAAGAGATAAAAGAATTTTAAGAAAAGCTTTGAGTATGGAAAATCGTACCGGTTCGGAAGACATAACTTTGGATTATTCAAACTCTGGAGTTTTGATGGTACCGTCACCCTATTCGAGTGATAAAATGTTACTGCGACTGCCAGAAGATGATAAATTTAAAAAATCAGAAAGGCGACCTTTGTTTCGACAACAAAAATCAACAGAAGCCATGGAAAAAATTGAAGAAAGTTTCGGAGAACAAAATCCGACGAGTACAAAAAGTGCATCATTGCACGAAAAAAGAAAATCAATATCAAAACAAATATCTCTCGATAATAAACCCTCGCAAATGGAAAGATCGAAAGAAATCAATGCCGAAGAAATTGCTTTGGTGGTACAAGAACGAAGAACGCCATACATTCGAGAATTAAGAAGTCAAACACATGATTTTTCTTTAGATGAAACACCTTTCGCCTTTACAAAACAAGAAAACGAACACAGGGCTCAAATCCGTCGTCAAATGACCACACCAACTATATCGGACGAATCTCCTATAAGGAAAAGAAAACACAATTTGGTAAGACAAGATCGTCAGGAAATAATTAGTTCGGAATCGTTAACGAAAAACTCATCGAAAGATAATCTACCGATGTCGGTTTTGGAAAAGCGCGATTTATTAATAAGAAAATCGGAACAGAGTAGCGAAGATGTCGAAACGGCGGAAACATCATTGTCGGCAAAAGAAACATCATCTTCGATGGAGAAAAAACACGAAGACACGATTAAAAAAACAAAAGCTCCCCGCATAAAAAAAGGAAAACTTTTAGAAGCGTCAATCGAAACGAGTACGAGTTCGAATTCGACAACCGTTACGAACGTCAGAAGTGATTCGATAATATCCGAAGATGTAGAAAAAGATTTTAAAACGGATTCGAAATTATTAAAAAGTGACGATTCTAAATCTGATTTTGACGTTTTCGAAAAAGATAAAATCATAGATGATGATAATGATGACGGTAATACAAACAAAACCGGAAGTAAAGAACTTTTGTTGGATGAATCTCGAAATTTTCCTTACGATTTAACACGAAACGATTCGTTTAAAAAAAAAGAAACCGAACAAAAACATTGACAAATAATAATGATAATTTTCCTTTTTTTTTATAGCACTCGCAATCATCATTCGATCATAATAATAATAATAATAATAATAGTAGTACGTAAAAAATATTCCCATGTCAATTTGATACTAGAAAAAAAAAAAAAAAATTCATATTATCACAAAATTTTTTTTTCCATTCCCTGATAACAAATTGTTATCACTTAACATTTCATATGACGTCATTTATGTGTTAGTATATTAAATCGATGGAAATATGGAAATCAGTTAAATTTTCTTTTTTTTTAACTTGTTTACTCTTCACCCCCGCCCTCCCCAATTAATTTTTTATATTTCGAAAAATAATAAAATATTTCAAATCTTGTTATTGTTACTATTTAAAAATAATAATAATAATTAAATTCGGGGCTCTGAAAAATTCGCCGTGCACAATTATAATTGTAACTGATTTGATCGATCGATTGATTGATTGATTGATTGATTGATTGAGTAAACATATATATAAATCGAAGTAGATAAAAAAAAAAAAAAAAATTAACAATTTCTATATTTTCTACAAACACACCTAATTCGTCCTAATCTAAATCTCTTCTAATAAAAATTTCTTTTTTCGACTGATTACATATATAGAAAAAAATTTAGCGCTCTATGTAATAATAATAATAATAATAATAATAATATTAAAAGTTGCTGAGTATAATAAATGTCTCACTGTATAGAATATAAATAAATAAATAAATAAATAAATTTAGTGTAAATATAGAAAATTATATAAAAATGTTGTTATTATTAATTAATTTCTCTTTTTTTATACATATACATATATATATATTTTTTTTGCTCTTCCGAATTTTTATTTATTTATTTATTTATTTATTTTATTTATTTATTTTTGTTTATTTTAATAAACTTAAAAAAAAATTATTTCTATACTTTTCTCTTTAACTATCTTACATAACTTTTGCATTTCCTAAAATACTAAAACTTTGCCTGCTTAGACTTTCATACTATTTTCTTTCTTTCTCTTTTGCCCCCATTAAAACCTTTTTTAACTTGATGACGTGTGTGCAAATGATGACGTCACACGGTAACAAACAAAATAAAAGGAATTTTTAACAAAAACGTTACGAAACAAATCATAATAAATAAAATTGTATTCTAGAAAAAAAATTTACAAAAAGATTTTCTTTTATTTCTGTTTTTTTTTTTTTTTGTTTTTGTTTTTTGGCTTAAAAAGAAAGGGAAAAAAAAAAACATTTTAGTCTTTTTTTTGTTTTAGCGCCTTTAATAAAATAATGAAACGAAATGTTTTTGTTGCGTTTGTGTGTTGTTAAAATGTGCGTGTGTCAAATTAATCGGCGCTACTACCTCCCCGCGAAATTAACCAAACCGAAAGGGGTACTCGTGATAATAATAATAATAATAAACATTTTATACTAATATTGAAATTAATTAAGTATTATTTAATACCGTTAAAAAATAAAAGAAAATAATAAAAAAAATGCAGATTCGTAAAGAAGTTTTTTTACTTTTTTTTTTACAATTTATTAATTAGTTAATTGGTTTATATTATTTTGTACTCAACGCATACTTATTTTTGATAATAATAATAATAATAATAATACAAGGTAATCAAAACGGATGTTTTTTTTTTTTTTTTTTTTAAATAAATTAAATAAACTTACAAGTTTAAAATACGACGAAACACTGGAAGGCATTACAAACCTACCTTTTTTTTTTTTTTTTTTTTTTTTTTTTTTATTATTAAAAAGAAACACAATTTTTTTTTTTACTTTTTTTCTATGCATCTTATTTGAAATAATGATGATGATGATGATGATGATGTTGATGACTAATCCATTACGTTTATTATTTTATTTTTTTTTCTTTTCAGTCTTTTTTTTGTTTTTTTCAACAATTTTTCTTCCGGATTCAAATTTTTTTTTTTTTTTTTTTTTTTTTTTTTTTATTGTGAAATCTGAAATCATATCAAATGAAAAAGTTCAGATGAAGGTAAACCTTTTTTTTTTTTTTTTTTTTTTTTGATTTTCAAATGAAAAGCTTTAAGCTTTCTTTAAAAAATTTAAAATTATTTTGCTAAATTTTTTTTTTTTTTTTTTTGTTACAGATTTATTATTATTATTTTATTTTGATTCGACGAAATCATTCGTGTCATAAAATTTTGCAGTGAAAATTATTATTATTACTGTAATTCTTATGTTAACCTAATACTAACAATATTACCTCTTCTTATCTTATTACCTAATAGAATAATTAATTTTAACCTATTTGCAAATAATAATATTGCTCTGTCACTTAATTTTAATTACCTAATAATAATAATAATAATAACTAATTTCAACAAACGGCAGCATCATTAATAATTTAATTAATTAAAAGTACAAACGATTATTTATGTCATTAGAAAATAAAACCATTTAATAATTAACAAGAAAAAAAAATTTAAAATAATTTTTTTAAATTTAAAATACTTAAACTTAATTAACTTAAACTAACTTAAATTGGATACTTAATTTAAAAATTACTTAAAAAAATTTAATTCACTGCTGACACGTTCGTTTAAATAAAAAAAAAAAAAAAAATCAATTAAGCAAAATAATTTTTTTTTTTTTTAATTTTAATTTTAATTTTTTTTATTTATTTATTTATTTTCGGACAAATAAAATTTTTGGAGAGAACAGGAGAAAGAAAAAGAAAATGTATAGTAATAGTAATAATAATAATAATAATAATAATAATAATAATGAAGTAAATTGGCTCAATTAATTTTTTGAGAACTATTTTAAAAAAAATTTGATAGTTTAGAAACGAGGTCACCTGAAAAAACGTGTTTCAACAACAATTTAGAGACCGTTGAAGATGCTGAGAGTCGATACGAAGA